GAGCTTGGCGGTGTGAAATACTAACAAATTGAAAATTGTTCCCATTATTCGGTGTGGCTTGAAAAACCTTGGAAGTTATAGAAGGATAGTCTGTTTTATGCAACTACGGGCAAATTATGGATAGCAGAAAATTTCTGCAAATTTTCTCGGTCAGTGAATAATAGTGTATATTGCTGATATATTTTTATTTTTTTCAAAATATTTAGCGATGTAGCCTGTAAGCAAAATTTGTAGTATACTTGTAATCGTCATTATACTATACCTATCTCGTATACTCGGTATATTTAGTCTTTCCTAAATCTAAACTTATCCAATTTATACCCTTTGTTTCGTGTTCTGTCTTATGTTGATACTTTTAATACCCCTATTAATATCCCCTTTCTTAAGAACAATGATTGATTATCAATCAATCGTACATGTGACTTTGGACAGACATATAGACGTTTTTTTCTATGTACAGATTGACTAGAGAGTACCCACTCTGCCGGGGTTTCTCTCCCCCTTCCCCCCCCCCTCACCCCTCTCTCCAAATCTCCCCCCTCTCTCACGTCTCCCTATCTCTTCCCATCTCCCTCCTCTCCAACTTTCTTCCCCTCTTCTCTCTCCCTTCTCTCCACACCCTCTCTACCTTCCTCCTATTCTCCTCTTAACATCCCCCTCCCCCCTCTCCCTATCTCGCATCTTTCTCCACCTTTCCCAATTCCCTCCTCCTCTCTGTCTCTCTCTCTCTCTCTCTCTCTCTCTCTCTCTCTCTCTCTCTCTCTCTCTCTCTCTCTCTCTCTCTCTCTCTCTCTCTGTCAGTACTAGTATCTGTGTCTGTCTTTGTTTTTAGTCTGTCTATTTGTCTTTCTGTCTCTTTACACTGTCGACCCGGTCTTTCTGTAACCCTGTCTCTCTGTCTCTGTGTCTGTCTGTTTATCTTTCTCTTTCTTATTGTCTGTCTGTCTCTTTTTGCTGACTACCTGTCCTTTTTTGAACTGCTGTTCTCTGTAAGTATTTTTTTGTGTGGAATAAGTGAATTAAAAGAATAACTTGTTTCTTTAAATACATGATAGAAAGAGTTGTGACATTATTAGAAAGATTTATACGTGGTATTCATGCCCGTGCAGCCTCTTGGGTGGCTTAATCTTACATCAGAAAGATCCAAGGGGATAAATATCGAGATGTCTTTGAAGTTGGAGCTCTGAGAGGTGTGAAGCTTAGTCAGGTGACAGGTACGGGGAGCTGGGGTCCCTCAGGGGGGCGGCGCGCCCTCTGGCGGGAGGCGAGGTAGGGGAGATTACCTCCACGGCAGGTCAGCTGTGACGCGACTTGATTACTTTGGCGGGAATATTGAGTGATTGAGAGGGAAGGGGGATAGGGTGTGTGTGTGTGTGTGTGTGTGTGTGTGTGTGTGTGTGTGTGTGTGTGTGTGTGTGTTTACTAGTTGTGTTTTTTTGCGGGGGTTGAGCTTTGCTCTTTCGGCCCGCCTCTCAACTGTCAATCAACTGTTTACTAACTACTTTTTTTTTTCCCCACACCACACACACACACACACACACACACACACACACACACACACCAGGAAGCAGCCCGTGACAGCTGACTAACTCCCAGGTACCTATTTACTGCTAGGTAACAGGGGCACTTAGGGGTGAAAGAAACTTTGCCCATTTGTTTCTGCCTCGTGCGGGAATCGAACCCGCGCCACAGAATTACGAGTCCTGCGCGCTATCCACCAGGCTACGAGGCCCCCTACGAGGTGTGTGTGTGTGAGTGTGTGTGTGTGTGTGTGTGTGTGTGTGTGTGTGTGTGTGTGTGTGTGTTTGTATGTGTGTGTGTGTGTGTGTGTGTGTGTGTGTGTGTGTGTGTGTGTGTGTGTCAACTCACCTATTTGTGCTTGAGGGGGTTGAGCTTTGGTCCTTTTGGTGTGTGTGTGTACTCGCCTAATTGTGCTTGCCGGGGGGGTTGAGCTCTGGCTCTTTGGTCCCGCCTCTCAACCGTCAATCAACTGATGTACAGATTCCTGAGCCTACTGGGCTCTATCATATCTGCCTTTAAATTTGTGAATGGAGTTACCCTCTACAATCTGCTCCTTTTGGTCATTCCATTTTCTCACTGTGTGAAATATAGAGGAACCCGAAATACTTTTTCTCGTATGGAAAAACAAGAACAAAAACTGCATTGGGCCAAAGGTGATGGAACTTTCACAGATGACAAGAAAGAAATGAGTGAAATACTGAGTCTTCAGTACGATTCTGTCTTCAGTGATCCCCCTGAAGACCACATTGAAGATCAATGATCCAAACGAATTCTTCATGAATGTGACACCAACATCGAACTCGCATATCAGATGTCACCCATAACCCCACAGGACTTTGAAGGAGCCATAGACAGCATGTCCATGCACTCTGCACCCAGGCCCAGACTCGTGGAATTCTATATTCATCAAGAAATGCAAAACATCACTATCACAGGCCCTAAACATCATTTGGATTCTAATCCTAGATACTGGCGTCATCCTGAAATAAAACAGCGGAGATCGCGCTACTTCGCACAGAAGGAGGTAGTAAAGCAGATGCATAAAATTATAGACCAACAGTTCTAGCCTCACACATTATACAAATATCAGAAAGAGTGCTAATAAGTAAGATTACAAATCACATGGAATCACAACATCTACATTACCCTGGACAACACAGGTTCAGAACAGGACGCTCCTGCCTCTCACAGTTGCTAGATCACTATGGCATGACCTTAGATGCCGTGGAAGACAAGCGAAATGCAAATGTAATATTCACACACTTTGATACAAGCCTTCGACAAATGTGACCATGGTGTTATTGCACACAAAATGAGTGCAAAAGGATTTAATGGCAAAGTAGAGAGAGATGGATCTTCAACTTCCTAACGAACAGAACGCAGAGTGTAATAGTCAACACAGTCAAATCTGAATCACCATCTGTGAAAAGCTCAGTCCTCTTGCGGGCTATTCATGCCCATGCCACCTCTTGGGTGGCTTAATCTCTATCAATCAGTCTCAGTCCCCCATGGTACCGTACTTGCTCCGGTACCTTACTCTTGAAGAACACCATAAAGTAGCTGTCACGACTGCAAGTAAAATGACAGGTTGGATAACAAGGACCTTCCAAATAAGGGATACCAAAGATACTTTTAAAGACGCTCGTATTCTCTAAGGTGGAGATTGTTGCACTCTAACAGCCCCATTCAGAGCCGGAGAAATTGCTAACCTAGAGAGCGTGCAAAGATCCTTTACCGCTAAAATCCACTCTATAAGTCATCTTAATTATTGGAACCGATTAAAAGTTTTAAATCTGTATTCTCTAGAGTGCAGGCGAGAGACATAATAATTAACACGTGGAAGATATCAGAGGGGCTGGTTCCAAATCTGAACACAGAAATAACACCACATGAGACCAAAGAGATTTTTGAGACCAGAAGACATGGCAGGATGTGCAGAATATCCCCGCTGAAAAGCAGAGGTGCAACAGGTACTCTGAGAGAGAACTCTATCAACATCAGAGGCCCGAGACACGCTTCCACTACACATAAGGGGCATAACTGGCCGACCCCTCACAGTGTTCAAGAGAGAACTCGACAAACACCTTCAAAGAATACCAGATTAACCAGGCTGTGATTCAGGCTGCGAGCAGCCGCATCCAACAGCCTGGTTGACCAGACGACCAACAGGGAAGCCTCCGAACCTCCAGGGGCTGTTGATCCCCGGAAGCTACACAAGGTAGACACAAGGTAGACACAAGGTAGATTACCCTTACGCTAAAAGAAAACTTTCTAACATCTCTATGACACATCTGAGTCTCAACCTTCCATCCGTGTCTCCTTATTCTGTTCTTATTCATTATACACATTTTCTCTGTTTCCACCTTGTTAATACCTCTAAGGTGCGACTGACACCTCGTCCGCCACCTCCCCCTCCCTAACCTATCCTCCCCCCCACCTAACCTTCCCTACCCCCTACCTATCCCCCCCCCCTCCCTCCCTCCCTCCCAGTACAGGTAGACATGGCCATCAACCCCCCACTCATCATAATTATTTGCTCATCATGCTAATCATCCATCTGACAATTAGTGACAGTTTAATGACCCTTTCATTAGCACCTGTGACATGACCCCTGGAAAGCCACGCTGGAAGTTATAATGCAAATTTATTCCAATAAAGCGACGTAATTTATTCCAATAAAGCGACGTAATTTATTAAAATAAAATTATGAAATTTTGAATGATGATCGGTTTTGGTCAATTCTGTCCACTTACCACTGAAGACCATCACAAGCAAATACTGGACCATGGAAGCAAATACTATTCATACTTTTAAAACTAGGTATGATAGGGAAATGAGACAGGAGTCATTGCTGTAAACAACCGATAGCTGGAAAGGCGGGATCCAAGAGTCAATGCTCGATCCTGCAAGCACAAATAGGTGAGTACAAATAGGTGAGTACAAGCATTCCAAGAATGCCTCCAGCTGCTCCTAGCATTCCAAGAATGCCTCCAGATGCTCCTAGCATTCCAAGAATGCCCCCAGCTGCTCCTAGCATTCCAAGAATGCCCCCAGCTGCTCTTAGCATTCTAAGAATGCCTCCAGCTGCTGCTAGCATTCCAAGAATGCCCCCAGCTGCTCTTATCATTCTAAGAATGCCTCCAGCTGCTCCTAGCATTCCAAGAATGCCTCCAGATGCTCCTAGCATTCCAAGAATGCCCCCAGCTGCTCCTAGCATTCCAAGAATGCCCCCAGCTGCTCCTAGCATTCCAAGAATGCCCCCAGCTGCTCCTAGCATTCCAAGAATGCCCCCAGCTGCTCCTAGCATTCCAAGAATGCCCCCACCTGCTCCTAGCATTCTAAGAATGCCCCAGCTGCTCCTAGCATTCCAAGAATGCCCCCAGCTGCTCCTAGCATTCCAAGAATGCCCCCAGCTGCTCCTAGCATTCCAAGAATGCCCCCAGCTGCTCCTAGCATTCCAAGAATGCCCCCACCTGCTCCTAGCATTCAAGAATGCCTAAAGCTGCTCCTAGCATTCCAAGAATGCCCCCAGCTGCTCCTAGCATTCCAAGAATGCCCCCAGCTGCTCCTAGCATTCTAAGAATGCCCCCAGCTGCTCCTAGCATTCTAAGAATGCCCCCAGCTGCTCCTAGCATTCCAAGAATGCCTCCAGCTGCTCCTAGCATTCCAAGAATGCCCCCAGCTGCTCCTAGCATTCCAAGAATGCCCCCAGCTGCTCCTAGCATTCCAAGAATGCCCCCAGCTGCTCCTAGCATTCCAAGAATGCCTCCAGCTGCTCCTAGCATTCTAAGAATGCCCCCAGCTGCTCCTAGCATTCCAAGAATGCCTCCAGCTGCTCCTAGCATTCCAAGAATGCCTCCAGCTGCTCCTAGCATTCTAAGAATGCCCCCAGCTGCTCCTAGCATTCCAAGAATGCCTCCAGCTGCTCCTAGCATTCCAAGAATGCCTCCAGCTGCTCCTAGCATTCTAAGAATGTTCCCAGCTGCTCCTAGCATTCCAAGAATGCCTCCAGCTGCTCCTAGCATTCCAAGAATGCCTCCAGCTGCTCCTAGCATTCCAAGAATGCCTCCCAGCTGCTCCTAGCATTCCAAGAATGCCTCCAGCTGCTCCTAGCATTCCAAGAATGCCTCCAGCTGCTCCTAGCATTCTAAGAATGCCCCCAGCTGCTCCTAGCATTCCAAGAATGCCTCCAGCTGCTCCTAGCATTCCAAGAATGCCTAAAGCTGCTCCTAGCATTCCAAGAATGCCTCCAGCTGCTCCTAGCATTCCAAGAATGCCCCCAGCTGCTCCTAGCATTCCAAGAATGCCCCCAGCTGCTCCTAGCATTCCAAGAATGCCCCCAGCTGCTCCTAGCATTCTAAGAATGCCCCCAGCTGCTCCTAGCATTCCAAGAATGCCTCCAGCTGCTCCTAGCATTCCAAGAATGCCCCCAGCTGCTCCTAGCATTCCAAGAATGCCTCCAGCTGCTCCTAGCATTCCAAGAATGCCTCCAGCTGCTCCTAGCATTCCAAGAATGCCTCCAGCTGCTCCTAGCATTCTAAGAATGCCCCCAGCTGCTCCTAGCATTCCAAGAATGCCTCCAGCTGCTCCTAGCATTCCAAGAATGCCTCCAGCTGCTCCTAGCATTCTAAGAATGTTCCCAGCTGCTCCTAGCATTCCAAGAATGCCTCCAGCTGCTCCTAGCATTCCAAGAATGCCTCCAGCTGCTCCTAGCATTCTAAGAATGCCCCCAGCTGCTCCTAGCATTCCAAGAATGCCTCCAGCTGCTCCTAGCATTCCAAGAATGCCTCCAGCTGCTCCTAGCATGCCAAGAATGCCCCCAGCTCCTCCTAGCATTCCAAGAATGCCTCCAGCTGCTCCTAGCATTCCAAGAATGTCTCCAGCTGCTCCTAGCATTCCAAGAATGCCCCCAGCTGCTCCTAGCATTCTAAGAATGCCCCCAGCTGCTCCTAGCATTCCAAGAATGCCTCCAGCTGCTCCTAGCATTCCAAGAATGCCTCCAGCTGTTCCTAGCATTCCAAGAATGCCTCCAGCTGCTCCTAGCATTCCAAGAATGCCTCCAGCTGCTCCTAGCATTCCAAGAATGCCCCAGCTGCTCCTAGCATTCCAAGAATGCCCCCAGCTGCTCCTAGCATTCCAAAAATGCCCCAGCTGCTCCTAGCATTCTAAGAATGCCTCCAGCTGCTCCTAGCATTCCAAGAATGCCTCCAGCTGCTCCTAGCATTCCAAGAATGCCCCCAGCTGCTCCTAGCATTCCAAGAATGCCCCAGCTGCTCCTAGCATTCCAAGAATGCCCCCAGCTGCTCCTAGCATTCCAAGAATGCCTCCAGCTGCTCCTAGCATTCCAAGAATGCCTCCAGCTGCTCCTAGCATTCCAAGAATGCCCCAGCTGCTCCTAGCATTCCAAGAATGCCCCCAGCTGCTCCTAGCATTCCAAGAATGCCTCCAGCTGCTCCTAGCATTCCAAGAATGTCTCCAGCTGCTCCTAGCATTCCAAGAATGCCTCCAGCTGCTCCTAGCATTCCAAGAATGCCCCCAGCTGCTCCTAGCATTCCAAGAATATACCCCCAGCTGCTCCTAGCATTCCAAGAATGCCCCCAGCTGCTCCTAGCATTCCAAGAATGCCCCCAGCTGCTCCTAGCATTCCAAGAATGCCCCCAGCTGCTCCTAGCATTCCAAGAATGCCCCCAGCTGCTCCTAGCATTCCAAGAATATACCCCCAGCTGCTCCTAGCATTCCAAGAATGCCCCCAGCTGCTCCTAGCATTCCAAGAATGCCTCCAGCTGCTCCTAGCATACCAAGAATGCGCCCAGCTGCTCCTAGCATTCCAAGAATGCCCCCAGCTGTTCCTAGCATTCCAAGAATGCCTCCAGCTGCTCCTAGCATTCCAAGAATATACCCCCAGCTGCTCCTAGCATACCAAGAATGCCCCCAGCTGCTCCTAGCATTCCAAGAATATACCCCCAGCTGCTCCTAGCATACCAAGAATGCCCCCAGCTGCTCCTAGCATATCAAGAATGCCCCCAGCTGCTCCTAGCATTCCAAGAATATACCCCCAGCTGCTCCTAGCATACCAAGAATATCCCCAGCTGCTCCTAGCATTCCAAGAATATATCCCCAGCTGCTCCTAGCATACCAAGAATGCCTCCAGCTGCTCCTAGCATACCAAGAATGCCCCCAGCTGCTCCTAGCATTCCAAGAATGCCCCCAGCTGCTCCTAGCATACCAAGAATATACCCCCAGCTGCTAGTCTTGGCTCAAATTGGCATCCTGTGTAATAGATGTTTAACACCTGTTAAATATCCTTCGACCCGGATATTTAAGAGGTTTAACAAGACAAACAGGTGTTAGTCTTTTCATAATGACTTGGTTAATCTTGGCTGGTGGCATCGTTCGCGCGTCACGCAGGTACACAGCTCCTGTCGAGCCAGTTGGGCACAGCACCCTGCATTAAGCCTGAAGGAGCAACCCGTTCTCGCACTTTCTTACAGTCAATATTGACTTATTAAATACGTGCATATGTGACATACTAAACATACTAGTTTACCTTGAAAAGCTTCATAGAAAATACCGACCTTACCTAACCTTCTTTGTATGTTAAGATAAGCATCTTATTGCTCCGTAATTACAATTATTACTTAACCTATACCTATAATAGGTTAAGTAATAATTGTAATTAGGAAGCAAATTGCTTATCTTAACATACTAAGAAGGTTAGGTAAGGTCGGTGTTTTCTATAAAGCTTTTCAAGGTAAACTAGTATGTTAAGTATGTCACATATGCACGTATTTAATAAGTCAATATTGACTATTCGAAAGTGCGAGGACGGGTTGGAAGGAGAAATGGTCGCCAGCCAGTGGGGTTCGAACAGCATCGCTTCGTCTAGTCGCTATATAACGCCTCTCCTGATTGGTTACGCGACTAGGACTAAGCCAATCACCTGTCCTCAAATAGTTAATAGGGGTCAAGAATAATAATATTTGGACTAAAACTTAATTAAAGAGAAGTTATATAATAGAGAATATAATATTATCACAGAATATTATATAAGTTATATAATATCATCACACTATATTGCTTTGTGTGGTAAATATATCGGTAAATGATATTCAAACGCAAGACTGCAGATGTAAACAAATATGGCCGCCGCTGCCAGTAATAGACAACACAATTATTTTCACGGCGCTTTTGTAAGATAGATGCAATTAAATAGATGTAGAAAATGTTTTCACAGGTGGCGCTGAGGTTCTTAAAAATTCAGAGATGACTGTAGATTTAAATAACAATATATATAAATAAAAATGTAAATGTTCGTTTGTTCAATGTCGCTAATCTCCGAAAGTTCTTCACCGATTGCTTTTTGACGCAACGTTCCATTCGAATATGCGCGTGTTTTTATATACCTACTATATAGATGCCACACCTGTGACAGGTAAAAACATGCTTTTTTTTTAAAAAACAGTGCCATCTGTTGCACTTAAGAGCAACACATGCTATACTAAATATGTTACGATTCCATTTCAATGTTTCCGATTGCATTGATAAATTGAATTTTCATAGATTTTGATTTATTTTCATTTTGATTGAATTATTTTGTGTGACATTGCGTTGGAATTGAACTGTGTTGGTTACCATACCGTTCATTTCGTGAGTATAGTTTATTTTTATATTTTTTTAATTGTTTTTATTTCGTTTTTATTACTACTTATTTTTGAGTGAGGGGAGCTTCAGATCATTTGAGAATCATCGGACGAGGGAGTGGGGAATGTTGGGGAGGACGAGAGGACGGGGAGGGGGTAATGGATGGGAAGATAGGGAATGGGGGATGGTGGTTACGAGAGGGATGGGGAAGTGGAGAATGGTTGGGAGGACAAGGGGAGTGGGGGATGGTTGTTAGGACGAGGGGAAGAGAGGAGGGGGAGGGGGAATGATGGGAATACGAGGGGACGAGGGAGTGGGGGATAGTGGGGAGGACGGGGGAGTGGGGGTATGATTGGGAGAACAAGGGGATAGGGGAGGGTTGCTGTGGCTCAGCAACGCGTGGCCTGGAACAGCTAGTAACATATAAATTACATTCAGGTTTGAACCAGGTTTGGTCACTGAATCGGGAAGAATTTTAGATTGTAGAGAGAAGAGTCAAGCTTTATCCAAGGAGGATAGCGAGAGGTTTAAGCATATTCTCCCAGACAGAAGCTATATAAAATATAACGTCGTGTATCCTATCACGACAGAATGAGCACAGCAAGTTTAAAAGATAAATAAAGAAGCTATTTAGCAGGTGTAGCGAGGCCACGGGTGTACAAGCACAGGAGGATGATAAAGCACAGTGGGTGTAGCGAGACCACGGGTGTACAAGCACAGGAGGATGATAAAGCACAGTGGGAGTAGCGAGACCACGGGTGTACAAGCACAGGAGGATGATAAAACACAGTGGGTGTAGCGAGACCACGGGTGTACAAGCACAGGAGGATGATAAAGCACAGTGGGTGTAGCGAGGCCACGGGTGTACAAGCACAGGAGGATGATAAAGCACAGTGGGTGTAGCGAGGCCACGGGTGTACAAGCACAGGAGGATGATAAAGCACAGTGGGTGTAGCGAGGCCACGGGTGTACAAGCACAGGAGGATGATAAAGCACAGTGGGTGTAGCGAGGCCACGGGTGTACAAGCACAGGAGGATGATAAAGCACCGCGGGTGTGTGTGTATGCTCATTTGTATGATAATGGCGGCCACAGCTGTTCATCCGAGGCCCGGGGCGCGCTGGGGTAACTACCCCAGAGAATTATAAGAAGTTATTTTTCCTTTCTTATTTGGTGTGGCCAAACAATAGGCTACAGTTCAGCATTTTATCCCTCCTGCTGCAGTATAAGTGAAGGAATTTACCTTATACTAAGAAGTTTCTGTTGTATATTGTATATATGTCATTGTATCTTGGTTATCTTGAGGTTATCTTGAGATGATTTCGGGGCTTTTTTTAGTGTCCCCGCGGCCCGGTCCTCGACCAGGCCTCCACCCCCAGGAAGCAGCCCGAGACAGCTGACTAACACCCAGGTACCTATTTTACTGCTAGGTAACAGGGGCATAGGATGAAAGAATACTATACTTCTATATACTATACTTCTTTCGTAATTAATTGTATTTTCGCTCACTATCGGGGAAGCGCTTTACTATCATTCGTTCACTACAGTTTCGTGTCTGATGCATTACCTTTTGCACGAAAGAATTTAATTTTTGTTTTTTTCGCACGTGTGAACATTATAATTGAATCACGCAACACAAGCGGTAACTACGCTCCTCATATTACGGGCTCGCCATAGCCCGTGCTACCTGGACATTTCGTTCTGAGTAGCTAAATATAAAACAACAACAACAACGCTGCGCATACCACATACCACATACCACATATCACATACCACATAAAAGCCAAGTCCTAGTCATACAAATCATATAATTTATCCTATAATTTAGTCATACAATTGGCTTAAATAGGACCGTGGATCACCTAACTCCATGCCAAAGTGGCACCCCATGTTAAGGCCTAAAGTTTCAGTTGGGCAGCAGATAGGTGCCTCTGGAATCCTTCCTGTTATGGGGAAATTGGTGGCTCAGTAAGCAGAGTGGTTAGCTGCTGTCTATGTGGTCGCCGGTTCGAGGATCAGACTGTGCAAGTGAAGGAAGGAATTATCAGGGTAAATCGCCAAGCCATTGCGACTATATAGCGTTGGGAAGGCGTCAAATTTGGGATGGGACGGAGGAAAGGAATGGTGCCCAGCCACGTAGACAGTCGGGGGATTGAACGCCGACCCTGCATGAAGCGAGACCGTCGTTCTACCGTCCAGCCCAAGTGGTTGGGTAAAGTGAATGAAATGCTGTTGTCCGCTGTGACTCACAACAGTGACGGCTCTGACAGTGCCCAAAGAACCTGATACCAGAGGGAGCCGGTCGGCCGAGCGGACAGCACGCTGGACTTGTGATCCTGTGGTCCCGGGTTCGATCCCGGGCGCCGGCGAGAAACAATGGGCAGAGTTTCTTTCACCCTATGCCCCTGTTACTTAGCAGTAAAATAGGTACCTGGG